CAGCGATATGATTTATTCGGGATGTAATATTATTCTTCACAATATTATTAACAACAAAAGGGGTGTAAAATATATATGTATATATTACACGATGAATTGATGAACAGTGATGATTTATGCAAAAAGCAAGCAATATGATCAACTAATAAATTCTTTGTCGTTGCCTTCGATAATAATTTGACTGTCGGTTAGTTGATAGGTCGTTGAATTGAGGATATGTTACGGGAAATACATTTAGCGAATAGAAAGAATATCGTAGTTTATTTTCCAGTAGTGGCGGATATGCCAAGATGTCGTTGTTTGCGGTTCTGGTTCAGTCGTGGAGCATAAGCGAAGAGGCTGTATTGTCTGTTTGACTGTAGAAACTGAACTGTTTTGGATTTTTCCTTATGTATATATAAGGATTAGGGAGGAGTTTTGTAAGCTCCATCGAGATTATCATGGAGGTATGACTGACTGTCCTTTGGCACTGTCTATTATGTATGTACTGAAACGTCTTTGTGTTGTGCAGTCTCTGTGTTATGTTAGCTTACATCCTCTTTATTGCTTTAATTTTACTTACAAGATTTCATCACTCGGTCTATTAGATATTGTGGAAATTTTATTTGAACATAGCTTCAATTTCGGCAATCCGACAAGAAGTACAAATCAAATTCTAGTCTCCAATGGATCCTTTGTCTTCCACACTTGACAAGTTCGATATGTAATTCAACGTACAATATCTGAGTAAAAGTTGCTGTTGAATTGTTGTATACTTGCCCAGACTCAATTTCCTTAAATTTCAGAAATATGGTCAGAAAAGACAGGGACACCAGATGCGACTAAAAGGAGCCTATACTCCAGAGGACTTACCGCTCATTCGATACATCGATTATGGGTCATTAGCTAGTGAAGATAGCCGGATGCACTTCTTCACTAATATATTCAATAAACCTAATGAACTTAGCACGGTTTGATGAGAATAGGTCAACTGCTATCCATTCATATCAGAATTCCAATTTTAGCTCTGGAAAATGTTAGAAAAAAACTTCGAAACCTTGCTGAACTATGACGGACTAATGTATCGTTCCAGCAGTTTTTTTCTGAAACCTTCTCGAGTTGAGTCTACTAGTTGAAAAATTTTCGCCCAGGCTATGGAACGAAATAGGTTTTTAGTAAACAATCTTTAGAATGCTAGCTGAGACATTCGACTGAGTATGTCTTTCAGCAAGGGTTCACATACGATACTAATTGTGTCATATACGAATGTTGTCGGGAAAGTTTCGTTTGGTGTGTTGAATCGCAAAGGAAAGGTTTATTGAATAGTAGAAGTATAGCAACTATACAATGCAATAGTATTTGATAGCGGAAATAGAAGATGGAATAGGGGGTACAGTAAATTTAAAGGGAAACAGTGAGTCGTCGAGTTGAGCGAGACGAAGGAGGCGCTGCTTTGAGTTCCGACCAAGAAGGTTTAAGAATGCTGAGAATCCGTTCTCGGAACCTTTATATTGCTCATAAGTGGGTTGGGCTTACGAATAACACACCGAATTAGTTTTTTCTATTTCCTCTTGTCCAAGAGGTAATTGTATGGGAATTATTTCCGGATATGTAGCTTTCTCACAGTTTGTATATGAGATTCGTAAATAAGATAAAGTTTTACAAATTAGTTAGCGGATGTGTGCAATTTCAATATCAAAGGAGAAGACATTTTCACACGATTGAGCTTAAATAACAGATTCATCACTTTAGATATAGAAAAAACGTTGTATTTGTTTTTTGTATAATGTGATGAGTTTTTTAATCCGGAAATACTTTTTACAATAAATTTTTTAGCTGTTTGGACGTATTACAATTTCCTTCGGTTTTTTCCGACAATTGCGTCATATACATTATATATCATTCTAATACATTTCTTGTTCCATAGTTTTTGCTACTGACTATTTATTGTTTATTTGTTTGTAGTTAATTTACAGTAAAGGAATGGTGTATGATAAGAGTTCAAAATTAGTCAAAAAGCAGCAAAGGGAACTGGTAATGTCAGCAACACCCAGAGACTGCCTAACATTGCATAATGTAGTGGTTCACGAAGTATTTGGAAGACAACAGCTTCAAAATGGGCCTAGTCGATGAACTGGCCTACGCTATCAATCGTACCTTGCCAACGGACTATCACTTATTCAACTATCTCAACACCTTTTGCAGGAAGAATGTTTCCTAACAGTTTGTTCACTTCCGAAGAGCAGGTTTCTACGATGAGAATAAACATATTTCTCTTTGGTAACAATTTCTTGATTATCAATCAAACAACGATTGGTGATAAAGATATATTTGGACCTGTTATAATAATTTAAAATTTATGATCCAAAACTGCAATCATTTTCTTATCAGATTATTGATCAAACAAAATCAGAACAATGTCAGACTTACTGTGGGGAATATTCATTACATGCCTCTTTCTAAGAGAATCCAATAAATATGGATAGAATCGTGAATTTGATGTCCGCAACCAGTATTTTTGCCATTCATTTCCCTAAATTAAATGACTTTTCAAAGGACTTTTTTTGCCCTTTTCATTTTTGCACATTTTCCTCAAGTAAATACTTCAAA